AAGACTTTGTATATTTAAATATTCCTCTCTCTTGGTTTTCCTTTATTTCTTGTTTGCTCCTCTCTTAAAAAAAAAGAAAAACACTTTTTTGAAAAAAAATATCCTTCAAAAGTTGGGATTTTTTTTTTTTTGGGTTTTTGAAGTTTCTCTCTCTCCTCTCTCTCTCTCTCTCTCTCGCTCTCTCCAAGCAGGTTTGTATTTTGAGTTTTTCTTCTCTCTCTCTCTTCTGCGTCAAAGCTTTTTGGCGTTTTCGTGCGGTCAGCTGAGGTTAGCAAGGGTGGGGCAAAGAATGGGTCCCACAGAACAACCTCTCCCTCTCTCTCTCTTCTCGGCTTTGTAGACTGTCTGTGTCTTTCCTTTCTTCGTTTCCGTTCTCTTTTTTTTGTTTCTTTTCTCAAACAGTGTTTAAAAATGAGACGCCATTGAAAACATCATTATTTTGCTAATTAAACCCACGACGATTACCAGAGGTTTTTAATTCCCTCGATACGGTTCTGCCCACGTTTTTGCCTTTTATTACTTAATTGCCACTCCATTTTTAATGTCGGAAAGCCGGCAAAACGAAACGTTGCTATTGGCTGACCAAAATAATTTTTGTTGGAAGGAAATTTTGATGTTTAAATATAATTGTTTTTTAAGCTATCTTTAAATTAAAGTTTTTCACTTAAAAGAATCAAATATTTCTTCGTAAAATTTAGTTTCGATTTCAGTAATATTTACAATTTATAAATTCTCCTTTAAAATTGCAATATATCTTGACTTTAAATTTTATGATTTCTCTCCTTCTAAACTTTTAAGTATTAAAAATGTAAAATATTACACTTTTTAATCTCAGAATCTCTATATAATAAATTAATTAATTAAATTAATTCATGATTTAAATTACTCTTTGATTTGAATTAAATTTGGAACATAATTTTTTAAATCTTGATCTTATCAACAACAAAATAAAATATTTGAATATAATTTTTATTTTCTTAAATTTATCAACGGTAATTAACAATATTTAAAAAAATAATTTAATTAAGATCAAGCCATTTGTATAAGCATAATTGTTGGTATCTTATCAAAAGAAATTTTGCTAGTGCTTAGTTGTAAAATAAGTAAAAATTAGGCTTAGAGAATATTTTTATCAATATACTGATTTATATTTAAAAATTTGCTTAAAATTTGAATTACTAGTGCTGATTGTTAGTTGTATTTTGTCAATATTTGATTTACTATTAGTTGAAATTTTAATTAATATTAAAAATAAGTGCTTAAAAATTACTTGCGTTCATAAAATCCCATATTTTCAAAATTGTAAGGTTTTTTTTCCTCATCAAAATCGTATTATGTTTTAATAATCTAATAAATTCATTTTCTACCACTTAATTAATGACTATTAGACTAATGTAACCAATGACATGTATTGTTAAATGTGAATGAGTTGTTAAATCAAAAATATTAAAATAGTTTTTAAAATTAAAATATTTTATTCAAATTTAAATAGTAATTAAAAATAAATTTATATATCAAAGTCTAATTTAATTAATTTATTTATTTATATTAAGACTTTGTGTTTTTAATATAATAAAAAAAATACTTTGTATGGACGATGGGAAATTAATTGCATGATCGGTGTCCACGAATTTCATCATTGGAAAATGACAAAGGCTTTAGACATTGGCCATGCTGATCCAAGGCGGATATAGCTTGCACCTTTTACTTAAAAGACAAAAATATAAACTCAAAAAAGTTGGTCGGTTACAATAATTAATGTACTACTATTTAGTATCGCTGATAAGAAAAAAAAAAAAAAAGGAAAAATTTTGTTTTCTTGTTAATGTTTAACTTTGTAATATGAATAAGTTAACATTAAAACTAAATTACCGAGTTGTTAGACAAATCTTTGTAGTTTATTAGAAGTAATAACGGATTAGATTGTATTCAATTAAGTTATTATAATTAATGTATAATATTTTAAATTAAAAATTTTAAATTTAAATTAAATCGATTTGAATAAAATTTTATCAATTTATGAAACTTAAATTTTGTATTTTGTTTTTATTTTATGTTATTTTTAATATATTTAAATAAATTTATATATAAATAATTATTTTATTTATAAAAAATTAAAATTTATATAAAACTAATAAAAAATATTTCAATTTACTTTCAATTTTTTTTTTTACTTTATGATTTAAAAATTAATTCGAATAGAATACAATTTTGAATTCCTTTTTTTTTCCTCAATATTATGGTTTATATGACTATAATTTTAGCTTAACACTTTTTTTGCATAATTATTTTCATGTCAAAAAGTATGAATCTTCTAATAGTTTAAAAATTTTTATAATTAAAAAATTACAAAAGAATTAATCAATTGTACCAATCTTTAATTTTTAACTTCTTTTTTTTATTACATTGTTTTTGTCACATGATAAAATCTCTTTCTATTTAAAAAAAATTGATATTAAATATTTGTTAATATTATTTTATACAAAAATGTTAAAATACGTTGCCAAAAAGAAAGGGCAGCCTCGTGATTATGCCAAAGACAAAGGTCATTTAAATTGGATCCAAAATTTAATCTTTCACGACAAGACAAAGGGATATCAACCCATCTTTGCTGGCATTGCAAAAAAAAAACGTAAATTAAATATTTAATTATTTTGTTATATTTTAAGAAGAAAATAGAGAGGAATATTTTAATTGGACGAAATCATTATACCATTCCGCAAATGCACTAGCAACTTCTGTCCGAATTTCAAACGGTCTCTGATGTGAAATGGCCAAAGAACCCTTAAAACATAAATTTGTTTCGAGTAAACTACAGAAGTCAGGAAGGCTATTTTTGTCTTTTAATTAACATTTTGATACTACCACGGAAAGCAACATGGGACTGGAAAGACATTTCGTTTATAGAACTAAAATGGAAAATTATTATTTTTTATTATTAGATATGTTGTTACGCACCTTAATGTAGAAGAAAAACATAGCCAACATAGACAAAATCAAAGCCGAATTCATGCACAAAATAAACATAGCTGACATAGATTTTTTTAATGTGAGAATTAATTCATAAAATCATTTTTAAAAAACTAGTTTAACATATTTATTATTCAATTTGTAGTATCAAACTTAATAATTTATTTATTTGTATATGTTTATTTTATATAAAATATAAAAATTATTGTGTCATATTAATATAAACATGTTAAACATGAAATATTTTTTAATTTTTATTAAATTCATATGAAATTTTTATCAATTTTAAATTATATTATATTCTTTTTTTTTTTGTAAATCTATGATCAATTAACAATACCTTTAACCTATTTTTTAATTTTTATCAAATTCATAAACATTTTTTTATCAATTTTAAATAACATTATTTTATTTTTATATCATTTATATATCATATCTAAATTTATCAAATTAATAATGCATTCAACCCATTCACTTATTTTCATGCTTTAATTTTTTTTAACATTAATTTTGTGTGTGTAATCATCCATATAAATAAAAGGTGATTGAAATTAAGGATGACAGGTTGAGTTAAGACGGATTTTTGCTCATCTTGAACCTAACTTGATTTGTACACTCGTCAAACCTGAATTTGATTGAATTTTTTTTTTTAATACTCGAATCTAAACTCGATCAAATATTGTGTAAATCGTATCCGACATCGATTCGATGATAAATTAATAAAATATTTATTTTTTTAAATATAAAATATTTAAATATATAATTATATAAATATATATATAAATAAAAATTAATTTAAAAATTATTTTTATATAATATCGAGTCGGATTTATTTAAATCTCAAACTCGACCACACATCAATAATTCTTTTAACGTTATTCAACTCGACCCGAATTCGATTTAAAAAAAAAAAATCAATCTTATAAAGTTGAATCAAAACTCGTCGAGACGGAGTGGGTTACCACCCTAATTGAAATACATGAAAGTGAGACCGTTGGATTACCATTTAGCATTGACTGTTAGATACCCAAAAAGGAAAGCTTAATCCGGCACGTATGAAGCAAAACAGATCTATTATAAGATGAGATGTTTAAAAAAATGTTTTCCTTTTGTGAAATTATAATTGAAGGACTATATTTTGTTTAAAAAGCATAAATAGTATTTTAAACAAACTATTTGTAAAAGATTATTATTTCATTCATATGCTTTTATATAATTAAATATAAGCTAATTATAAATATTTCATTTTTTATAATCATGTAAACACGTGACATACGAATTTTAATTAAATGAAGAAAGTTAAAATACTATTTCACGTTTAATAAACTATATTTTTATTAAATTAAAAATATTTTAAATTTTATGAAAATTTTAAAAAGTATAATAATTAACGAATTATTTTTTACATATTTTCATAGAATTTTTAAACTTAAAAAAAATTAATAGGTTAACAAATGTTTTTTATATTTAGTTTTCAAAATTTAATATACACTATAAGATCTCTAATAGTAGATGAGATCATATTTTTTTGTTTATATATAATATATATTAAACATCAAATATCACTTTTATGGATGTTCTTAGAAATCGTTTAATCATTCTTATTTTAATTATTCTTAATGATTAAACTAAAATTGAGAAATTATAAAATTATAGAAATTCGACTTATGTGAATTATTATAAAAAGATTAAATCTGTATTTTTGATATAGTATAGGAATTAATTACATAATTTAATTTTTAATTTTTATGTTTAATTAATTAATCATTGTTATTCATTTTAGTTGCCATGATAAATATTTACAAGTAAGACAGCGTTATACATGTTAATGCATTGCATTCAAATAATATATTTATATATTTTTAACCTTATTTTAAAAATTTAAATAAAAAGGATTATTATTTTTTTTACAAATGATAATAAAATTTTGAAAATAAAATTTACATGTGTAAAAAAAAAAAAAGAATATTTGTAACATTTTACTTGCCGACGATAGTTACGAAGAACAAAAATAAATAAAGCCCCACATGCGTAAGAGTTGTTAAAAACGCAAGATAGTGAAAAACCCCACACTCAGAATTTCTCAAACTCCCACTAAACTCTCAACACGATGGCGGCTTTCGCTCTCTTCTCAAGCGCTCATGTTGCCCCTAAACCCTACATACATTTCATCAAAGCTTCAGCTTCCGATCTCCCCAAAACATCCGTTCCACCACCACCGCTGTCTACGCAGCCGCAGCCACCCCTCAAGCCCCACCACAATATCCGCGAAGAAGCTCGTCTCCTTAACGCTGTGACCTCCACGACCCACCACCCTCGCTTCACCGCCAAATACGTCCCATTCGCCGCCATTTCCGACCCTTCATCCTCCGATGAATCCTACTCTCTCGATGAGATCGTTTACAGATCCCAATCAGGCTCCCTTCTCGACGTCCATCACGACATGTCAGCTCTGAAACATTTCGACGGCGCCTACTGGCGAAACCTTTTCGACTCCCGTGTGGGAAAAACCACGTGGCCGTTCGGTTCCGGCGTCTGGTCGAAAAAAGAATGGGTCCTACCTGAAATCGACGATGATGACATCATCTCCGCTTTTGAAGGAAACTCTAACCTCTTCTGGGCCGAACGGTACGGAAAACACTTCTTGGGAATGAACGATTTATGGGTAAAACATTGTGGGATTAGCCATACGGGTAGTTTTAAAGATTTGGGTATGACAGTTTTAGTGAGTCAAGTTAACAGGTTAAGGAAAATGAATAAACCAGTTGTTGGAGTTGGTTGTGCTTCAACAGGGGACACGTCAGCGGCATTATCTGCTTATTGTGCGGCTGCTGGGATTCCTTCTATTGTCTTTTTACCTGCTAATAGGATTTCCATGGCTCAACTTGTTCAACCCATTGCAAATGGTGCCTTTGTTTTGAGTATTGATACTGATTTTGATGGATGTATGCAGTTGATTAGGGAAGTAACAGCTGAGTTGCCGATATATTTGGCGAATTCCCTGAATAGTTTGCGGCTGGAAGGACAAAAAACGGCTGCTGTCGAGATTTTACAGCAGTTTGATTGGGAAGTTCCAGATTGGGTTATTGTTCCAGGTGGAAACCTTGGGAATATTTATGCCTTTTATAAAGGGTTTGCTATGTGCAAAGAGTTGGGACTTGTTGATAGGATTCCTAGGTTGGTTTGTGCACAAGCTGCTAATGCGAATCCGTTGTATTTGTATTTTAAGTCTGGTTGGAATGAGTTTAAGCCTGTGAAAGCAAATACAACTTTTGCATCTGCTATCCAGATTGGTGATCCCGTTTCCATTGATAGAGCTGTGTATGCTTTGAAAAATTCAAATGGGATCGTTGAGGAAGCTACTGAGGAGGAGTTGATGGATGCTATGGCACAAGCTGATTCTACCGGGATGTTTACTTGCCCGCATACTGGGGTGGCATTGACTGCATTGATTAAGCTTAGGAGAAGTGGGGTTATTGGTCCTACGGATAGGACAGTGGTGGTGAGTACGGCTCATGGGTTGAAATTTACACAAAGTAAGATTGATTATCACTCCAATGATATTAAGGATATGGCTTGCAGATTCGCTAACCCTCCCGTGCAAGTAAAGGCAGATTTTGGGTCGGTAATGGATGTTTTGAAGAAGTATTTGCTGAGTAAAGCCCATTAGGCTGATTATTATGAGCAGTATAAGATTTGCTCATGTACCTTTCTATTGTTGGCTTAAATATTGATGTTGCTATCTTAATGTACTTTTCTTTTCCAACTTATTAGAGCCTTCTTGTTAGGATTGTAGCTTTTGAAGAGAGAAACCTTCTTTCCCAAATGAAGGACCTCTTTAACATTTGAATTTAATGGCATTTTTCTTGGTGAACTTTTTCCATCAAGTGTTTACTAATTATATTAGTATATTTTTCCACACGCTAGATTGCTTTATCTTTTGCTATAATTGGTCGTTTTGTTGGGATGGTTATTAGAGAAGTGAACAATCATGACATGAATTTAAATGCCATTTTTGAGCCAATACACATATATTATTTCATCCAGTCCTTTATTATGCTTCTTTAGAGAAATTGAAAGGAAGTTTTAGAAATTTTTTTATTCAAGCAGCCTTTTGTCTGAGCCTCTCAGGTATGATCAATTCTACAAACTGTGCAGTACTTTTATCAGCTTATCTGGAAATATTTCAACTTATCAATGTGCAGAGGAGATTATAAGCCTAATAATGATATAAGACATTGTGTGTAATCATCATGATTTGGGGTTAAGATGTGAAAGATGAGGGAGGATATTGAAAGCAAGAAAGGATGCGTTTCCGGAGAAAACTTTTGTTACAAGTTTTCTAATAATCTGCTACGGAGAGCATGGTTAATTGCAAAGTCAGTGTAGTCCTGTTGCTTGCTTGGTTTCCAAGATTCTTCGACAAGTAGTAGAGACCGGAATTTTCTAGGCCTGAAAATTCTTGAAGCCTGAAGTTCGGCAGCAGCAAGAGTTATTATGGTGACAAGATCCATTTCCTCATCGGCTCTCCCCAACTTGCTAGTTTGAGAAATTACATTAACTAAACTATAGACTGTATTATTGATTAGTCAGGGTGTGGTGTTTGGTATTTGTTCTTGGGATGATTTTCTTAAACTCAAGGGAGTAGATCATCTTTAATCGTCCGATCTTTCCCACCCCTTTCCTATTTTTCCAATTTTCCTGTAGCTGTTTAGTTGCCGTTTGACAGAAATTGTGGGTGAACAAAACCTTTCAGGTTCATGGCGATTTAATGTTATGAAAGATAGCTGTGACTAAAAATTGTTTCAATATTGTAGTAGACGCCCTTCGCCATGGTCACTCTGTTAAACACTAGAGATAGCAATCAGTATTGGTCACAAGTCATCCTGCGATTTGGGGTGAACCCAGTATTAAAATTTTCCCCTACTTCTAAAACCGAGGTCAATATCAACAGAGCAGTGGAAGATAGCTGTAGTAGTTTGTTCATGCCGTTTTGTTCAAATGGAATGAAGCCTCTAAGCCAGCCAGTAGATTTAAGGCAATGGCATAAATGCGAATGCAAATGGTGTGTACGTGGACAGGCTCGCTATGTGCAGGTAAAAGGAAATGGGTATCCACTGGGTTGTGTTATTGGTTGGGAAGTCCGAAAAATATCAGCCTAATTCAGTGACCTATTTGAAGTGGACGCAGTTTGTTTTGTTTTTTGGGCCATTGATGTGGACGAAGGCTTTAATTCTTCAAATACGAACAAAGTGACATGTCGAGCCATTTCCCCAAAGTCAACTAACTACTGGCGGGCCTCGGGGGCGGCTATCTAATATCTATAATTCACGGTTCATGTCTCCTCCTGAGTTCTGAGTTGGTATAGTACTGCTTTTCTAATAGTATGCAACTGTCAATTGAGCTAAAAGTGTAGAACAAGTGGGAAGAATTTTACATACTACATTGCTAGAGAACTAAAATTTGGGGTAGAGAAATGGATGATAAACAGAATATAGAACAGTTCAAAGGCCAACCAAGGCTACCGAAATTTGCTATCCCAAAACGTTATGATCTTCATCTCAAACTTGACCTCTCTGACTGCACATTTTCTGGTTTAGTTCATGTCAATCTTAGCATCGTGGAATCAACTAAATTTATTGTCCTAAATGCTTGTGAACTTGTTGTCAATCTAGTCTGTTTCACCAACTCTCTCAACCATGTAGGTCATATTTGCTTGGTAATTTTAGGATCTGATCGTAAATTGATTTGGTTGATGATTTTTTTTTTTGGGTGTTTTTAAGCAGAGATTTTCTCCATGTGATGTGGCTTTGGATGGCGATGATGAGATACTTGTGTTGGTATTTGATGAAGTGCTTGGAACTGGTGAAGGAGTATTAAAGATTGAGTTTTCTGGGGCTCTTAATGAGCACCTGAAGGGCCTTTACAAATGGTGCTGTATTTCTTTCTACTATTTTTCCATTTTCTGTTTGACCAGAACCTTTTTATAGTTGTTCGTGTAGCTATTAAATTTTTTTTTTTCGTTTGCCCTTTTGTCATTTATTTTTCTTCATATTATTTATTTTGGGAAAAAAGTAACTGAAATGACATACTAAAATGTTTTTTGAGCTTAATATATTTATATATATATATAAATATATATTTATACCTCTTCTTCGTTCTCTTTGCTACCCAAAATGGGTTCAAATGGAATTTCATAAATTCTTCTATTTTCTGCTTAGACTAATAGGTATCATTTGGATTATTTATTTCTCTTGCAATATTATCTTTTGATGTTAACAGTACTTATGTGGATAAAGGAGTAAGAAAGAATATGGCAGTCACCCAGTTCGAAGCCGTGCATGCAAGGCGTTGTTTTCCATGCTGGGATGAACCTGCTCTTAAGGTATGCTAAGGACTTAACTTACACAAGTAGCTATTGTCCCCCGACGAGGTAACTGTTGTGGAGAAATTGAAGCTATAAAAAAACTGTTAGTACATTAAAAATTGAGGGAGAAAATTTCATGGTTTTGCTCTAAAATGTTATGGATTTGCATTTCATGTTAGTGACTAGTGACCAACATTGATGCATTTAGAAAGATAGAGAAAGCATGATGACTGCACCTAATTTTAAGAATCAAGACGCTGAAAACTGTTAATTTTCTGCTTCATATCTGTAAAGTGGCTACCACATTGAACAATATTTTCATGTTATTGTACTTTTCTACTATGATGGTAAGCTTGAAACTGAGATTTATCTTTCCTGATATAGCATGACTGATTTTATTTTCACAGGCAACTTTTAAGATCACATTGGATTTGCCATCAGAGTTGATTGCCTTGTCAAATATGCCAATCAATGATGAAACGATCAATGGGAATGTTAAGACCGTTTGTTTTGAGGAGTCTCCAATCATGTCAAGTTATTTGGTTGCTGTTGCTGTTGGTTTATTTGATCATATTGAAGAAACAACTGCTGATGGTATGTGTTTGAGCCAGATTTTTTTTTTCTTTCTCTTGATTGACCATCATTTTAGTTTGTATTTTAACACCTGTGTAGGAATTAAGGTTGGAGTATATTGCCCTGTTGGTAAGAGTGATGAAGGGAAGTTTGCACTAGAAGTTGCAGTTAAGTCCCTTGATATATTTACTAGGTAAGTCACCCACTGGTGACCGTGCTCTTTTTTATTTCGGGGTACACACACTTCTGTTAAGTCAAGAAGCATGAAATGAAAAAGAAGGAAAATTTGGCAGATTTTTTGTTTTGTATCAGCTTCTGTCCAGGAGAATTGCGTTACAATATGACCTTCCTGAAGGACTTTAGCTTTTGATACACAATGCCTGAAGCTCTATAAGATAATCATGGCACATAAAGCAGTTTGCAGTCATTCTTCCAACCATCTTCACTCCCAAAACCAAAACACTATAAAAGTCTTATCTCTTTATTCTTTATGGTTGTGAATGATTTAACCATATCCTCAAACACTCACCTATTATTGAATATGTAATGAAGAATCTGCTATCCATGACAGGAAATCAGCAAAAAACAATGATAGAAAATTTAGTTGTCCTCTTGTCAATGATTTTTTTATTTCACAAATTCTTTCTGCTTCAAATTAGCTGTGCGGCTGGTGTTTGTCTGCAGTGGAAATGTTAGTTCCAGTATCATCAGTGTTTTGAACTGAATTTTAACACTTATCATGGAGATTTTACCTTTATTAGGTACTTCTCAATGCCTTATCCACTCCCTAAACTAGATATGGTTGCTGTCCCTGAATTTTCCGGTGGAGCTATGGAGAATTATGGTTTGATCATATTTCGTGAAAATGAGATGCTTCACAATGATTTACGCTCTACAGCTGCTAAAAAGCAGATTGTAAGTTGCATATTCTTTTCCAAATGTGTGGCTTCCTATAAATAATTTTCATCCGAGAGCAGGCAGTGAAAAGAAAATTTTAGCCCCCTAACCCCAGGTGGTCCTTAACAACATATGTTTGACAGTAATTTTTCCTTCTTGTCAGCTTACAATAGTTGTAGCACATGAAGTTGCCCACCAATGGTTTGGCAATCTTGTAACAATGGAATGGTGGACTCATTTGTGGCTTAATGAAGGTTTTGCAACATGGGTAAATATAAGTCTTGAAGTTTATTACAGTAGCCATTTCACTAGATACAGCATCAACTTTATTATATATTTTCCAGATTAGTTACATGGCTACTGATATCATGTTTCCTGAGTGGAAAATATGGACTCAATTTCTCCAACAAACTAATGGTGGCTTGCGTCTGGATTCACAGGAGCAATCACATCCAATTGAGGTAAGAATAATTAGTTTGCCTTATAAGATAGATTTACTCATCCAAAGTTCAAGCTACAGTTTATCTTATAGCTCTATTTCTGTCTATATTTATCCTTATTCATTTTCAAAGCAATCTTTGTACATTTCCTAAAAATTAAAGCCATAAAATCTGATGTAAGTTACTAGTTCAGACTTAATTTAATAGGAATGTTCATAGACAATATGCTAGTCAGGCAAGATTCCCCTCCACAACTGCAAAATATGTCCTTCTTGAATTTATCAACATCTTTTCAGGTGGAGATTCAGCATGCTCATTCAGTTGATGAAATATTTGATGCTATCAGCTATAAAAAGGGATCTGCTGTCATCAGGATGCTACAGGGATATCTTGGGGATGAGATATTCCAGGTGGGTTCATATTTTGATTTATGGGATGATGTTGATTTTTGTGGAGGACCACATAGTGCTTCTTTCTTTTCTATGCAATCAGATTTTGAAACACTATATATTTTAGATGCATGCATGAGGCATGAACAGAGCACTATCTAATAAGCCATAGTTTTGCATTTCATCTCTTGAATTCTGATAATGTAATTCTTTTCCAATCCAGAAATCCTTAAACTTATACATGAAAAGGCATGCTTGGAACAATGCAAGGACAGAAGATTTATGGAGTGTCCTTTCAGAGGTATCTGGCATTCAAGTAAACTCAATGATGGACAGTTGGACAAAGCAGAAGGGATACCCAGTTATCTCAGTGAAATCCAAAGACTGCATTTTGGAATTTGAGCAGGTCATCTGACAATAGCATTCTCTTCTTTATTTTCTACATTTTTACATAAGCGTAGTCATCTGGTAATTGCTTGGCATTTGCAGTCACAGTTCTTGTCGTCTGGTTTCCATGGTGATGGGCATTGGATCGTCCCAATAACCTTGTGCCTTGGTTCATATGACAGAAGCAAGAGTTTTCTTTTGGAATCGAAAATTGAAAATTTAGATACCTCTGAATTATTTCCTTCTTCAGATGGAAAGAATGAAGATGAATATGGTGAAGCATCATGGATCAAGGTTAATGTTGAGCAAAGTGGTTTCTATAGGGTAAAATATGAAGATAAGCTTGGTGCTCGACTGAGGAAAGCGATAGAGAAAGACCGCTTGTCAGCAGCAGATAAATATGGTGAGTACCGTGTAATAATGGTATCATGTGGGTCGCAATAGTAGATTGTATAGCTTAGGATTAAGTGTGAATTGCTGAGTGAGCTGAGAACCAGGGGAATATTTTCTTTCGTTTCATTATTTATTGCCAACTCACTATAGGTGTCTGTATCACAATGGGGATACAAATCAAAGCTGTCTTTAGTGCCATGGAATCGCAGCTTTGGAATTGTAATTGGGGGTCATTTGTAAGTAGAATTAGATGAGCTGAGACTTGAGACCATATATTTCTCTCTGCATCATTCCTTTTATACAGACATGGATGGCTTAGCTGCCTTCCTAGCTAAATATATTATATTGTACGAACCGTGCAGTTAGACTGCTATGATATATAAACCTTGTTCCGGAAAATATTGGGCAATGGAGATTTTTTATTTTTCCAAACAAGGTTTTATTTTAGAATTGTGAAAATCTCTCTACCAATGAATTCCCTCATCCAGATGCACCCTAAGTTATAATAGTCTTAGGAGGCTTTTGATGAATGAATTATTGAGATTTCTGAATATTTGAGTTGAGTTACTTGTCCTACCTACATCAGTAAGCTACAATTTTGATTTATTGTTGGTTTCCTTCCTGATCAAGTATAAGCAATCTCATTTTCAGGCATCTTAGATGACACATACGCTCTCTGTGTGGCTTGTGAACAATCTTTATCATCATTGCTTTCATTGATGGATGCATACAGAAAAGAGATTGATTACATTGTATTATCAAAATTGATTGATGTAAGGATTTCTTTTCACCTCAAGCATGACACACCTCATGTCTAGTATCATGGTTAACCTGACATTTCAGGCAATTTACGTTACAGGTTTGCTATAATGTTCTGGAGGTCTTGAGAGATGCCATCCCAGATCTAATAAATGCATTGAAAGAATTTTTGATCAATGTCCTCCTATATTCTGCTGAGTAAGAAAACTTACTAGACTGAAGAAAATCCTAATGCAGTGATTGCCTTCTTTCTCTAATTTCTTTGCAGGGTTTGCTTGAAATTTATTTTGGTGACAGGTAATGTATGCAGTCCTGCAGTTAGCAATTCAGTTGGCCTTTTTCAATTGATGTGGACATAATCTCTATATACCAAAATAAAGATTTTTTTTTTCTACTTTATGGTGTTCTCTGACACTGTTAATCACTTTGGTATGGAAATTTTTTGCAACTATGGATAACGTATAAATATGATACAAATTATTGGTTCAATGGTCTCGTATAGCCAGAGCCAAAGTATAAACATGATATGGTGATTTAATTTTTCTGGCAGTCATGGAGGAAGCTATTACTTCTTGCTTTTGCGCAGAAAAATTAGGTTTTATATTCACAACCAAAGAATGTAAATGATATAGTTATCCAATTAGGTTTTAGATAAAATTATAATTGTTTTTTTTTTAATTTTCAGAAAATTAGGTTGGGAATCAGCGCCTGGGGAGAGCCATTTAAATGCTCTGATGAGGGGAGAGGTCTTAATGGCCTTGGCTGTTTTTAACCATGGTAAAACCCATGAAGTAGCAATGCAGCGATTTCAAGCACTATTGGATGATAGGAGCACCCAACTCCTTTCAGCAGACACAAAAAGGGTGAAAAATTGAAACTTTTATTCATTATTTCCTTGTTCCTATGAAAGTTTGCAAAAAGTATAACCTGTAAAATAAATTAAAATACTAGTTGCTCAACAGGCTGCCTACATTGCTGTTATGAGGAATGCTAACACAAGTAGGAATGGTTTTGAGTCCCTCTTGAAGGTTTATAGAGAAGCTGATGCAGTTCAAGAGAAAGAACGTGTTTTACGTGAGATTTGATTATTTAGAGTTAAACTTGTTGAGATTAGTCTCTGGTTCTCATTCACCTATTCACATCAAACCCTATTTAAATTTTCTGTTTAATACTTTGCTCTGATGTAGGTGCGATAGCGTCTACTCCAGACCCAGATATTCTTGTAGAGGTTCTGAACTTTTTGATATCTGAAGAGGTATTATTGAATTGTGTTTGATTTCCTTTTTGGTTAGAGTTTCTGATGGTTAATGATTTTAACTCTTTTTTTCTTTAAAGGTTCGAGATCAAGATATTATTTATGGACTTGCTGGAATAAGCTTGGAAGGGCATGAAATATCATGGAGGTGGTTGAAGGTATGCAGTTCTACAAACTATCACTTGTATACGCACTTTACCTTGACCAGTTTTTCCTCATAAGACTTTCATGAGGAACTGGCCAATGTTTTGATGGTACTTTTAAAAATGTTATAAGAGTGGATATCTACTATTCTACCATTCACCAAGTTATGTGAAATGAATGCAGGAGAACTGGAACGTTATCATAAACAAGTATGGTGCAGGGCTTCTTCTAACTCATTTTATCAGGAACGTTATAACACCAGTAAGGAAGTAAACCTAATAGATTAATCATGTCATACATATGCCTTATCCATAGATTTATTTATGAACTAGAAGTTAACCGAGAGCTGTGATTGTTAACCTAGTATGTGCCTACCTTTGCTGATAACACAGAATATGCCAGCTTGTTCTTTAGAGCGTATGCTGCATAGCCTTACTCCAACCAAAATTGTAGGAATTATAATTAGTTTAAGCTAACTGCAATAGACCAGTGATGATATGATAAACTAATTGAGAATATTACTTATCAAAGGCATTCCATTAAGAGCTGCTAAGACATGCAGTGATTTTGTCATGCAGTTGAACTTTATATAAAAGCAGGTCCTTCAAACTACTCTTTGATCAAAAGAACATCGTGAAATTTGGTCACAAAATGAGCAAAAAGTATTTCTTGTTTTCTTGGCTGAAACTAATTGATCCATGAATAATTTTCCAATATTGACTCATAGGGGTAAACTGATCCAGTTATATTTTCACATGGCAGTTTTGCAGCAATGAGAAAGCTGATGAGATAGAAGAATTTTTTGCTAGCCACATAAGACCTTCATTCGCGATGAATTTGAAGCAAAGCATTGAGCAGGTCCGGATCAAAGCAAGGTGGGTTGAAAGCATAATGCAAGAGCAGCAATCACTTCAAGGCCTACTCGAGCAATTAGCTCATAAGGGATGATCACTTTAATCTGAATGTCATATAAGTATCATTGTAACTTCATAAGATTTACATTTTAAAACTGTTGTTATTGTAAGCAAAATCATTAATAATACATCAAAACCTACCTCCAATTAATCTATATAAATTACCCTTAAAAGTGTTTTTTTTTTTGTTTGAACATTTTGGTTCTTTAAATTGTTCCTAATCTTAAAACCTGAGACTTGTATGGAACTGATAGAAGAAAGGTCCTTCATGTGTCTGTATATGTAAGTGTATGTATATGTTCCTCCCAAAAAGGTCAATACCAGAGAAAAAGGAAAAAGCTAACTTGGGTCTTGATCAGGCCTAAAACCTGACAGTTCCCTCTACAGATGGAAAGAATCCAGATGAAAATAGTGAAACTTCATGGGTCAAGGTTAATGTTGATCAAAGTGGTTTCTATAGGGTAAAATATGGAGAAGAGCTTGCCGCCCGACTGAGGAAAGCAATAGAGAACAATTATTTGTCAGCAATGGATAAATATGGTATGTATCATGTCAGTTCGTGATATCAGATATTGTTTGATTTTAGGCATCAACTGCAGTGACAGCTGATAGCTAAGGGCACACCATGGTTGAATTAAGTATTCACTGCCAACTGCCGAGTCCCTCTAATTGGCTTATGATTATCTCTGTTTACCCATTGCATTAAGATATGCATCAATTTGTGTAGCAATTTAGTCTTTCCTGGCTAAGTACGTTGCATATTGGTAGAATGCACCTGATAAATATGAAAAGTTGTTTTAGCTAATGTATTTAGCATCTTAGTACAAATGAATGAGGGAAATTTTCATTCATGGTGTACATTCTTCCTGATCAATTAGAAAACTGATCTTTATTTTAGGCTTCTTGAATGACATGTATGCTCTTTCTGTGGCTTGTGAACAATCTTACCTTAATGGTTGTATATAAAAAAGAGGTCGATTACGTTGTGTTATCAAAAGTTATTGATGTAAGAAGATTCTTTTCTCCTTGATTATGTCAAGCATAAAGATTAATAATTATGCAACCTGACATTTTTGGCATTTTCATGATAGGTTTGCTACAATGTTCTTAGGGTTATAAGAGATGTAATTCCAGATCTAGTAAACGCATTTAAAGAGTTTTTCATCAATCTCCTCCTATTTTCTGCTCAGTAAGAATAATTTCTTGACTGCAGATATTTTTAACCCACTGCTCGTAGTTGTAGCCCTCTGCTTCTATCTCGTTAATTTAGTTTCAGGAGTTTGGTTGAAATATAACTGATGACCGCTAAGATATGCATGCAATCAAGTTATTATTGTATTGGTCTTTTCAGCCAGAGCAGTCATCTCTCTAATTTCAAAATTTAATAGTTCTTGATCAATCATGTTCATAAATTAAGTTCTATGTAACTGGTGCTTATTTATAGCAATCTAAGTTTCTTGTGATCATGGAAAAAAAGTATAAAAACATACATTGATTTAATTGTCTCGCAGTCACAACTAAAGTATACACAAGATAATTTGATTTACTTTTCTGGTAGTTACTCCAGAAGTAATTTTGTTGCAGGCACATATTAATGTTACGATTACTTGATACTTTTCAAAAATTGGCTTTGGACTAGCAGCCAACAAATAAACATAAATTTGTGGGATTTTAATTTCTTTAAGTCAGAGACAAATTTGAAGTTGATTCCATTTTGTGCAGAAGATTAGGCTGGGAACCAGTTCGTGGAGAGAGTTATTTAAATGCTCTCCTAAGGGAAGAGGTTTTTATAGCATTGGCTGCTTTTGACCATAATAAAACCCACAAAGAAGCAATGCAGCGTTTTCAGATATTCTTGAATGACAAAAACACTATACTTCTATCAGCAGACACAAAAAGGGAGAAAAACAGAATCTTTTTGTGTCCATAAAATTTGCTTATTCTTTGAATCTTTGCAAAATGTATGATAACTAAAAGACCTGGTTGCTCAACAGGCTGTTTATGTTGCTGTTATGAGGAATGCTAGTATAACAAATAGAAATGGTTTTATGTCCCTACTGAAGATTTATAGAGAAACTGATGCAGTCCACGAGAAGGAACGTATTTTACGTAAGATTGATTTTATCTTTTTGGGTTTTTAATGTTCTCAAAGTTCTATCATCTGGCATTCATGTTCACATTATTTCCTGTCAAATTTTATTTCACTTTTATGTTCTATACTTCAATGTGATGTAGGAACAATAGCCTCTTCTCCGAATCTGGAGCTAGTTGAAGAGGTTCTGAACTTTTTAATATCTGATGAGGTATTGTTGATCTATGCTTAGTCTCCTTTCATACCACAGTTAGCTATAGTTGCTGATTTTACCCCAAAACTCTCTTAGGTTCGAGATCAAGATATTGTTTGTGGATTCGCTGGAATAAGCTTAGAAGGGTGTGAAATAGCATGGAGGTGGTTGAAGGTATGCAGTTCTCTACAAAATTGGTTTAAGGTCATCAATGCACTTTTCTTTAAGCCTCAATTACTCATATGAGACTTTTGGGAAGACCAGCCAGGAATATTAATAAACCACTGTTAGTTTTGGATGTGATCAAACATCTCTAATGTTTGTTGACTCTTTAAATTTGCCATTTCATGCATGATTGGAAATGAATGCAGGAGAACTGAAATCTTATTATACACAAGTATGGTGATGGTATTCTTCTCAGAAGGCTCCTTGCAGATATCATTTCTCAGGTGAGCAATTAATCCTAACAGAATAACCATGATAGATTTACATACATGGATTGGAATTTATAACCCAAAAGCTTGAATTATTAAATTCCTAGAACCCCAGACATGATGATAACGTCTGTACCTTAGAACATGACATTTCTTGAAACAAGGTCAAGTTTTCCAGTAGAAGACTTTGATTTATTGGTCTTAACTGATTGATCCATTAATAGTTAAAGCCAGTTGACATCCAGATTTCCATTATAACTGCTTGTTTGAGTGAACTGATTTGGTAATAATTCATGTGGCAGTTCAGCAGCAATGAGAAAGCTGATGAGATAGAAGAATTTTTTGTAAGCCATAGGAGACCTTCATTTGAAATGACTTTAGCAAATCCGAATCAAAGTAAGGTGCGCTGAAACCAAAAAGCAAGAACGACAATCTGTTGAAGACCTACTCAAGCAATTAGCTCACAAGGGATGATTACTTCTGTTGTGATCTGAATTCCTTAAAATTTATGACCCTGACATATTTGTATATTACTAGTAAGTTTGTAAAATGACAGCTCCAAATCTTTAACCTGACATCAATAAACCTTATCCAGTAATAACTTCATGCATTTAAAACTCGTTTAGATTGCCATTTTGGTTTTTTCTCGAAGTGGTAAGGATCAAATGAAATATTACCTGCAATTGTGTGTTCTGTTCCACTATTAAACTGTATATTCTTTTCTCTTAATACAAAAAGAAAAATATATATATCTTGAGTTGCGGCATGCCACTTATTTGATAATCTTGTGCTCTTATTATTGCTAATTATTATATATTGAACATGCAAGAGGACTGGGGAATTATATGTATAGCTTCATTGCTTTATTATTATAAACTCGGGTTTAGTCCAAATTATCATTCTAGAGATGATATTTAATTAATTTAAAGTTCGAATCTTAAGGGTTATAATTTTTTTAAAATCAAGTCATTTAAATTTTTGGTAAAATATTAAATTTTTAATTTTAATGATCAAAATTTAAATTTATCTCAAAAACAAAAAAAAATAAAAAATAAAAATAAAAAATTAGGAATAATATCTAAAAATCACAAATCACCTAAAAATTGAATAATTAAGTACATTACAATAAAACTTCATGACGACAAGAAAAAAATAATTGACAAAAAAATCCTGTGCATGTATATTTTAACTTCTTTATATGTAAGAACAACCCAAATAAACAAATTTTCCACCAAAAAAAAATAAATTGAAAAAAATGAAAAAAAAAAAAAAAAAACCTTAGAATTGTGCTTCTCAAACAGTGCTTGGATCTGGGCCAGGCCCAAGATTAGATCTGCCCCTGACGGAGTTTATTTTTTCCAGCTTCAAACCAGCCCTGAACCTTGCAATGAAATTATCGGCTTTGGTATCCACATCTGGGCTTCGACAAAACGATGGGCCTGCAGTTGAATCTCCATAGTCGATTTCACCCATTTTATTACCATCCGACGGACTCACTTCATCGCTTAATGGATCATCCAAATCCGGTGAGCGGCTCCGTGAACTGTTGATACTTCTTAACCTAACAAAGTCACCGTGCACTTCGAACTTCCACGGCGCCATTTTAAACGGCGGAGGAGGTGGCGGCGGGGGGATCGGATTTAATGGTGATTCGTTGCCACTTTCGATGCTCTCCTCCACATTGTTGATGTTGCTTATCTTGACTGGCAATGGAAGTTTTTGGGTTGTTACCGGTGATTTCTGGGGTTCTCGTTTTGATGCACGCGCTTCCAATGGAGGTGCTGTTGGTGCCAGTGGACGGACTGAATGAAGCTTTCTGGCTTTGCTTTTCTTGGAAGAAAATATGCTTTGATAAAATGAAGGTAGTGGTGGTGGTGGAGGTGGTGGCGGAGGCGCAGGTGATTGGGGTGGATATAAAGGAAACGTTGAAAGGTTAAAGAATTCATCAAGGTTTTCTACGCTTCTTTGTCTCTGTTTCTTCTTTTTTCTTCTTAATGAAATTAAGAATTCTTTAGTTACTCCACCTCTTTTTTTCTCACTCTTGTTACTTCTCTTTTCTGACCCAGCTATTGGTGGCGGCAGCGGCGGCGGTGGTGGTGGTGAAGATGGTGGCCTAGCTGGTGCCGATGGTGGTGGAATAGGTTGCCTGATTTTCAAGTCACTGTATATAACTTCCTTAAGTTCACTTTTCTCCTTAGGTTTTAGATCTTCAAAATCATATGTCCGCTTGGGTTTTCTTCTAACTACCTTAGAAGGCTGCGGAGGAGGTGACTGAGGTGGCAGCGGCGGTGCTGTTGCTGCTGCTACAGCTGGTGGAGGTGATGCTGGCTGTGGAGAAGAAGGTGCCGGCGAAGACGTCTGAACAGTATGGACAACTATATCCTTTGTATTATTAATGTAAACTTGTTCTTGATCGTTCTCTCGCCTTGACCTACTACGATAATTATACAAATGAGTATCATCATAAAATCTCCAGCGATCATCATTGTTCATCACCCAAGAAGATTCCAACCGTAGATCTGGATAAGAGTTGCTGCTTCTCACCCTCTGCAATGAGTTATATGCCTTCCGATCTGATGATGATGATGGGTAGTCATACCATTGACGCGGGGTTGACGGATTTGATCTTCCGACATCATGATCATGAACATGTTTGGGAGTACTAGAAAACCTGTAATCTTCGTAAGCACTTCGGGAATCATTGTTATCGTTGTTGCTGTTTAAGTTTAAGAAGCCACAGATAATGGCGAAAAGTACGAGGACTAGATTGACGGAGTCCCATGATTTTTTAACAAGGTGAGGCTTGAATACTTTGGAAGTGAAAGAGAGAAATGAAGGGATGATAATGAAGACAAAAGCAAATGCAATGACCAGTAAGAGGATGATAAGAATACCAGTGTTGAAGAAGAAAGATGAAGCTTGACGGCGGCGGCGACGGCGGTTGTCGGTGGTTTGGAGCCAAAAGGGTGTCATGTCCTCATCCTCCATATTTTTGAGGGTTGGGGCTTTGGTATTTGCCTTTGGGAGAGAGCGTGAATAAAGAAACTTTTGGCAACACTTTACCCTTTTGCTTGCGGTTGATTGCTTTTGCTTTTGGTTATGCCTTTGTTTTGGTTGTGCTTTGTTTTTATAAATGAAAGGATGCAGTACTTGATAAGATTTGTTTATTTGGAATGATTTTTATGTAATAATGTGGGGTCGTTATCCTTTTAATTACTTCAAAGAATAGTAATAAACAAATATTATACAATGTTAACTCTGTCTAGAGATGCCCTCACATGCTGCCTGTCCTTGTAAGCATGACAGCGAAAAGAAAAGAATTATTTGTATTGATGCATTCCGCAATTGAAATTTACTCAGTCAATCACTCCTACAGCGTCGAAGAAAAAAAAATGTTAGCCACCCTTAATGGGCTTTTTTTTTTTTTTTACATTTTATTTTATTTTTTATATTTGAGGTGTAAAATACTTTCATGTAAAACAAGTCAATTGATCATCTTTTAATAATTTCTACAAAAACATACACAGCAAAAAAGTTGGCCACCAACTCTTAACTCTTAAACAAGTTATATATTAATCATTGTTATTCTTTAACAATTTAAAAAAAAAAAAGTGTTTAGACGAGTAAAGTTATTCTATTTCAAAATAAAAAAATTTTTTTGACACTTTGTAAGCTAAAATTTACATTAAATATATAAATCGTTCAAAAAAAATGTTAATATGCTAATTCTAATTATATTTTTATTTCACATGTTCTTTTTTTAGTTGGGACATGAAACCCATTTCATGTTAAACTTACACCTAAACACGTTTAACAAATTTCATCATTTAAATCAAATTATTCCATATATATGATAGTTGGATGTCCCCAACATCATGGCCCCAAATTACTACTCCTATATAATATATTTTTTAAAAGAAAAAAATAGAGTTCCATATAAATATTGTTAATAAATTCCAAGGGGCATTAAGTAATAAATTTGTCACGTTTTAATTTAGTAGTAGAATAGTAAAAGTGTAAAACAGTAGGACAATTTCGGTCAAAGTCATAGTATCCGCGTATAACAACTAAGAGAAATAATTACTAAAACGAATTTATTTAAGACATAAATTTTGGAGTGACGTGTTTGCAATTCCAAAAGCTGTAAGGAAAAGACAAGGACAAGCAACGAGGAAAGCGGGAAACTACTTGTGAATGTTAGCAAAACGCGTTTTCTATTTTCTTACAGGTCTTTTTCAATGCTTTTTTTTTTTTTTGGTGCTGTTCTTTCCTACAAAATAACCTAGCTTTTTTTTCAAAAAAAAAAAAAGAAGACCACTGTTTGTTGCTTTCGCCGCAAGTCCAAACAATTTAGATGGAATGGAATGGAACCCTGTTTTTGCGGGGGTTTTCTTATGGCAGAAATAATGGGGGGAACATTGGATTTTTGCAAATTTTATTACAAGTTTTGAATGTTTTTTAGAAGGATTCCCGGTGTGCTTGCTTTGCATATTGGTCGTAAACAGCACTCCATAGCTGTATTTTACGGTGAAAATTTTCTTGGTTATGTTCTTCTTGGAGAACAATTTGAATTTTTTAGCTAAAGTAGAAATGAAGTCATTGAAATAATATAATAAATTTAAATTTAATTCAATTAATTTATACAATAAATTTTAATAAATTTAAATTTAAATTTAAATATTTTTGCTTATAATTTTTTTATTCCGGATAATAATTTTGTTTATATAAAAAAATCACATGTAAATGTACACACACAAATATTAATCTGTTCACACCCTTAACTCCAGATAAGGTTATCTAGTTCTTCTAGAGATTAATTTCAATTTTCTGCGGACCTTAATTATGAATCAAAACTTTAATACAATGAGGAAACCAAGCGGACTAAGTTCAGCTTGGTTGCTACACACAAAAGAAAAGAATAAAGTTTGGTAATTTGCCAACTTCCTTTATAGAATTAGAAAAGAATGTAACTTTTGTAATGGACTTCTTAAACTCCGAAAAGTAAGAAAAATAAAGCAGTTTTTCCAAGCTTGTGTTTGTCACATGTTTTACTGGTATTTTGCCTTAACTAAACTAAAGATTCCATGCTCACATGTTCCTTTGTAAAATCTTGAGCTTGACTCTACTATCTGGCCAAAAAAATAAAATACGAAGTATCAAAGAGCTGTTGTGTCTCAGTGTCTGTTTTTTTTTTTTTTTAAGCATAGTTTAGAAATAAAAAAAATTACATGCATTAAAATTTGATAAAAGTAGTTTTTTTTAAATAATTATATAAATTAATTAAATTTAAATATAAATAAAAAAGCCATCTAAGCTCGATTTCATATTACGTAAAGATAATACCGGATTAATTAGAGTTATCCAAAGGTATTCTTTGTTAATGTTTTAAGATTAAGAAGGATATATAAACAGATGAGAATTCACAGATCATGGTTGGGAATCTTGAAATGTTTGATATTGACTGTTAAAAATAGTAAAAAAAAAAAAATGAAGGTTAAATCAACAGTTAAAAAGAAAAAAATGATAAAAAAAAAAAAAGGTAAAACGACAGGAAACGGTGGAATGGCAAATGTGAAAACAAAGTGCAAAGAGGTGGCAAAAGTCATTTGATTGACTGTTAATATACAAAAGAGGACAAAGTCTATTAATTATTATTACAAAAGTTTGCAGCACTCTTCTAAAAGCAATATATGACAGCTATCAACCCTATTATTATTAAAAAAAAAAAAAATCCTTATCCACCAGTTCCATTTCCTCATTAAAATTGAATTGAACATCCAACAAATTACAACATACTAAAATTAATCATGGGTTTGAGCTTATCTGAAATAATCAATTTTTTTTAACAGTGATCTGCGATTAACATTAAACTATAAACTTATATATATTAAGTTGCCAAAAAAGTAGTTGACCAACCTTTTATTCACGGTGATTGGAGATCGGCCCATTACTAATTTTATATATGTTGAGCTAGAGGTAGCAACAACAATGAAAAAGCTGAGGTTTGCTGCTTTTATGAAATTTTTTTAATGCTTTCTTGCATGGTTAAATATAAAATTAATTTAACTTAATTGGTTAATGTTGTCATTTAAAAAAAACATTTCACAAGTTTAAATTTTAAATATTAATACTTATAATCTTTTATTTTATTAAAAAAATTGTGAATTGGGAGTCATATCTAAATATCACAAATCATCTAAATTTGAATAAATAAGAACATTACAATAAAACGTCATTAAGAAAGGAAAAAAATAATTGACAAAAAAAATCATGTGTATGTATATGTTAACTTCTTCTGTATATGTAAGAACAACTCAAATAAACAAAATTTCCACCAAAAAAAAAAGAAAAACTGAACACCTTAGAATTCTGCTTCTCAAAAAGTACTTGGGCCTGCATCAGGGCCAAGAAAGATCAGCCCCTGACGGAGTTTTTTTTTTTCAGCTTCAAGCCAGTTCTGAGGCCTGAACCTTGTAATGAAAATATCGGCTTTAGTATTCACATCTGGGCTTGGACAAAACAATGGGCCTGAAGTTGAATCCCACCGTCGATTTCACCCATTTTGTTGTCATCCGACGGACTCACTTCACCGCTTAATGGATCATCCAAATCCCGTGACCCTCTTCTTGAACTGTTAATACTTCTTAATCTAACAAAATCAACGTGCATTTTGAACTTCCACGGGGACATTTTAAATGGTGGAGGAGGTGGCGGCGGGGGGATTGGATTTAATGGTGATTCATTGCCACTTTCGATGCTCTCCTCCACATTGTTGATGTTACTTATCTTGACTGACAAAGGAGGTTTCTGGGTTGTCACCGGTGATGTCTGGGGTTCTCCTTTTGATTCACGCGCTTCCAATGGAGGTGGTGGTAGTGGAGAGACTGAGTGATGCTTTCTGGCTTTGCTTTTCTTGGAAGAAAATATGCTTTGATCAAATGAAGGTAGTGGTGGTGGTGGAGGTGGTGACGGCGGCGGAGGTGACTGGGGTGGATATAAAGGAAGCGTTGAAAGGTTAAAGAATTCATCAAGGTTTTCTACGCTTCTTTGCCTCTGCTTCATTTTCCTGCTTAATGAAATTAAGAATTCTTTAGTTACTCTAGCTCTCTGTTTCTCACTCTTGTTACTTCTCTTTTCCGATCCAACTGTTGGTGGCGGCTGCGGCGGTGATGGTGAAGATGGTGGCCTAGCTGGTGGCGATGGTGGTGAAAGAAAATGCCTGATTTTCAAGTCACCGTATATAACTTCCTTACATTCACTTTTCTCCTTAGGTTTATCATCTTCATAATCATATGTCCGCTTAGGTTTTCTTCTAACTACCTCAGGAGGCTGCAGTGAGTTGACTGAGGTGGCTTCGGCGATGCTGTTGCTGCTGCTATAGCTGGTGGAGGTTGATACGAGCTAAATGGAGCAGAGAAGAGAATTTAGTTTCTGCAATATGCAAGAAGCAGGTGAGAGAGAAAGAGGAGGGAAAGTGAAGGAAGAAAGAGAGAGAAGAAGAGAGTAAGAAGAAATCTATTGATTCAATTCCATGACCAAAATTGTATTCGGCAATAGTATATGACCTCCCTTAAATCTCTCCAGCAGAACATCAGCAACAAATATAATTAATCCAGAAATTAATAGGTATAGAAACTAATTCTAACCTTAACTATCATTAACAGACTTTTAAACTAATTATTATTTTTTGGACTAAGCCACTCAGCCAACTTCATTGGTCCACTGAGCTCAATTCCTTCCAACTTGCAATTTCTCATAACAGTACACCCTTCTGCGACTCGTATAAAACTTTCCATGTAATATCCTCGTACAAGCAATGCTCCACTGTACCAGCTGTCCGGGTAATAAAAAATTCAAGAAAATCGAAAATCAATTTAAAATTATAATATACAGTTTGAATTTATTTGTTTTTTATTTGATTCAAATTAAATTCACATATTAAATATATATATTAAGTTTGGATCATATTTTAGATCAAAAAATATATATAAATAAAAAAAATCAAATTATATTTTTTATTAATTTTTATATAGTTTTTAAAAATTTTATAAAATAAAAATAATCATTTTATATATAAATTTATTTAAATATATTAAAAATTATATTAAAATAATATAAAATTTAAAAAT